ATTTCTGCATCGACCTCACTCCTGGTATTTCACCTATCTCTAGGGCACCCTACAGAATGGCGCCAGTTGAATTGAGTGAGTTGAAGAAACAGACTCAAGAGTTGCAAGATCGGGGGTTTATTCGACCTAGCACATCACCTTGGGGAGCACCTGTTCTTTTTGTCAAGAAGAAGGATGGGTCACTCCGCTTATGTGTTGACTACCGTGCGCTGAATAAGGTCACTATTAAGAACAAGTACCCATTGCCACGCATCGATGATTTGTTTGATCAACTCAGAGGGGCGCAGTTGTTCTCTAAGATTGACTTGAGGACTGGGTACCATCAGCTGAGGATTAGGGATGAGGATATTCCTAAGACTGCCTTTAGGACTCGTTATGGCCTCTATGAGTTTTTAGTCATGCCTTTTGGGCTGACTAACGCTCCGGCAGCTTTTATTGATTTGATGAACCGAGTGTTTCGACCTTACTTGGATCAGTTTGTTGTGGTATTTGTTGATGACATTCTGATATATTCCAAGACTAAGGAGGAACATGAGAGACACTTGAGCATTACACTTCAGACTTTGCGTGAGCATCAGCTCTATGCTAAGTTTGAGAAGTGTGACTTTTGGCAAGAGCAGATTCAGTTTTTGGGGCACGTGATCTCTAAGGATGGAGTTTCAGTAGATTCTGCCAAGGTGGAGGCTGTGATGAGTTGGAAACGGCCTACTACTGTCACTGAGATTCGTAGCTTCTTAGGACTGGCAGGATACTACAGGCGTTTCATTAAAGGTTTCTCCAAGATTGCTGCACCATTGACCCGTTTGACTCGGAAGGATGTGAAGTTTGTTTGGGATCACCGCTGTGAGCAGGCATTTGAGGAGTTGAAAACGAGATTGACTTCGGCACCAGTTCTTACCATTCCTGTTAGTGGTGAGAGATTTGTGATTTACACAGATGCATCACATCAGGGTCTTGGCTGTGTTTTGATGCAAGATGACAAGGTGGTAGCGTATGCCTCTAGGCAGCTTAAGCCACATGAGCAGAATTACCCTACACATGATCTGGAATTGGCAGCAGTGGTTCTTGCATTGAAGGTGTGGAGGCATTACTTGTATGGCGAGGAATTTGAGTTATTCTCTGATCACAAGAGCCTCAAATACCTCTACACTCAGAAGGAGTTGAATATGAGGCAACGGAGGTGGATGGAGAAGATGAAGGATTTTGATATGACCCTTCAGTATCATCCTGGAAAGGCTAATGTGGTAGCGGATGCCTTGAGTCGAAAACCGAGAGGATTAGTTGCCTTTATGATGATTCAGGAGTGGATGATGTTAGAGGCATTGGCAGAGTTTTCTATAATGCCGAGTTCTCAGAGTACAGGGGCTCTTCTTTGTAGTTTGACTGTACAACCTACTTTGATCAGCCGGATCATTCATTCTCAGACTCAGGATGACAGGTTACAGACCAAAGCAGTTGAGGCTGTTAATGATGAAGGTAATGTTGACTGGACATATGGAGCTGATGGTGGTATGAGATTTTGAGGTAGGCTATGTGTTCCAGACTTAGCAGACCTCAAGAGAGAGATTTTAGAGGAGGCACATCACTCTAGGTACACAGTGCACCCAGGTGGCACTAAGATGTATCATGATCTTAAGAGGCAGTTCTGGTGGGAAGGCATGAAACGTGATGTGGCAGAGTTTGTATCTAGATGTCTCACTTGTCAGCGAGTGAAAGCTGAGCACCAGAGACCAGCAGGACTATTACAGCCTTTGCCTGTGCCTGAGTGGAAATGGGAGCATGTGACGATGGATTTTGTAGTGGGGTTACCGAGGTCGATACATAACCATGATACAGTATGGGTGATAGTGGACCGATTGACTAAATCAGCTCATTTTCTACCCATTCGAGCTACTGATACTGTAAAGGAATTGTGTAAGATCTACATTAGAGACATAGTTAAGCTTCATGGAGTGCCGGTGTCTATTGTCTCAGATCGTGATCCTCGTTTTTCATCTCGATTTTGGAGTAGTTTCCAAGCAGCTTTTGGTACTCCTTTGAGTTTGAGTACTGCTTTTCATCCTCAGACCGATGGCCAGTCTGAGAGGGTCATTCAGGTGTTGGAGGATATGCTTCGTGCTTGTGTGCTAGATTTTCGGGGCAGTTGGGAGGATCACATACCATTGGTTGAGTTCGCTTATAATAATAGCTATCAGGCTAGTATCGGCATGGCACCATATGAGGCACTTTATGGTAGACCTTGTCGTTCACCTGTATGTTGGGCTGAGGTTGGTGATGGTAGTTTTTTGGGGCCAGAGTTGGTGCAAGAGACTACGGAGAAGGTTGCCATCATTCGAGATCGACTTCGCACAGCTCAGAGTCGACAAAAGAGTTATGCAGACCGACGCCGTCGTGCTTTGGAGTTTAGCGTGGGTGACTTGGTGTTCTTGAAAGTATCACCAATGAAGGGGGTTACGAGATTTGGTAGGAAGAAAGGGAAGTTAGCTCCTCGATTCATTGGACCTTTTGAGATCACAGAGAGGGTTGGAGTGGTGGCATATAGATTGGCTCTACCACCTAGACTATCAGCTGTTCACGATGTTTTCCATGTCTCTATGTTGAGGAGGTGCTTGAGGGATGAAACTCAGGTCATTGACTGCACAGAGGTCCAGATTTGCCCTAATACGACCTATGTTGAGACGCCTGTTCGCATTGTTGACAGTATGGTGAAACAGTTGAGGCGGGCAGAGATACCTCTGGTGAAGGTACAGTGGAATCATCAGGATGAGAGAGAGGCTACTTGGGAACTAGAGTCAGAAATGAAGGGAAAGTACCCACATCTATTCGAATAAGGTACGCAAATTTCGAGGACGAAATTTCTTTCTAGGAGGGTAGAATGTAAGACCCGTGTAAAATACATATATATATATTTATATCATATATTTATTTACTTAATATAATTTAATGGTTATCTCTGTTTTAATTTAAATGGGTGATTGTGATAAAGTTTGTTAAATAATTTAAATTTAAAAAAAAAACTAATTTATCTCACCAGACTCCTTATATCTCTATAACTCTCTAATACGTTTTATTTCTATATATAAAAAAAGATATATTAGCACGATAACGGGAGAAGAAGGGACCAGAGAGAGTGATTTGACGTCGTGTTTTCCTGCAGTAGCCGGGGGAAAGGAACGGTAATCGGGAAGTCGCGTAGAAAGGAAGAATTATTTATACCAGGCAAGTTAATCTTGCTTTATATTTTTATATATGTTTACAACTTCTTGTTAAAGAAAAGATTCTTACAAAATTAATTTGGCATGTTCTAGAAAATCTTAGCCAATTATTTAATTAAAATTTATGATCAATGGATGTATGAAATCGATGAGTGGATTATTAGGTGATTGTTAATTCACTATCTGATATTTTAAAAAATTAAAAACAAAAATAAATAAAATGCAATACGTAATTATAGATGAATTTGTGATGTATCTATATATATACACGTGCATGTAGGTTCTAATAAAGGTAAACATTGCATTGTATTGGAGCACTTGAGATAATAGTTGTCTATATATATACGTTCATGTAGGTTATACTAAAGGTAAACATTGCACTGTATTGGAGCACTTGAGATAATAGTTGTCTATGATGGATTATTCAGATTAATTAAATGTTGATATTAAGTATATATATGTGTCGAATTGGAACTGGAATGGGAACTTATTGGATCATGATCATTGAGAATCAGTAATGGTGACTTATTGTATGAGTTCAAGGTCACTTATATTTATATACAAATCTGTATATATATAGGTAAGTTTTATTCATATTTTCCTTGGATAGATTGGGTTATTGTATTTATGGTTATACATTTATTATGAGATTTGAGTAAATATTAGAACTAAATTTAAAGACTTGATTCAATTGGCCGGTTGCTACATTTACTTAATGAAATTGAATTAGACATGGAACATAACCTTAAATTTAGTATTTAAATTTGTATTTAGTTATCTGGTAACCTTCAAATATAAATGAATGCTATTAGTTTTATATATAAAAAAAAACTATTATTTAATTATCAGTATGGATCTCAATAACTGATCAGTTGAAGTAATAGAACTATAAATATATGAGTAGTACTAGCATAACTCATGGTAGCTTAATGCTTGTATGTACATTGAGATATATATATAAATTTACCTATTATTAATTGTAATTATATAATCTGTATCATTAAGCTTGCATGAACTTTGTAAAGAATACACTTGATGAACTTGGTTACTGGACAGATTTGATGATCTGTACTAGTTTTCTTCTTTGAACTTTCATTTGTGATTTCCTTATCAGTTGATTATTGCAGGGGGTATAATTAGTTTAATAACTACATCATTAAAGGTCAGTCTAAGTCATGGTTGGGGCATGATATTTAAATGATAACATAATATTTTTTTAGCATAATTAATCTAAATTTATGATTATAAGTGGATTAGTCGGAGGGGAAGTCCGGGGCTAACCCTATGATGACTTTTGGGTATGGTCAGGGACTTACCTATTTGGGAGTGCACTACCCTTTTGTTATGGCCATGGGTCTAATGAGCCCTTATTGTGTGGACGTGATCAGGGATCATCTGGGGAGTAGACGTACAATCCAGCCACACGTGTGTTTTTGGTAGTCAGGGACTATACGATTCACACCATTTTATTGGACGGGAGCCCGGGGCTCATGTGAGATATGCCGATTTATAAAAAAAAATAAAAGATGGTTATTTATTAAGTTTATAACTAACTGGGTTATACACATTTGAATAATGAACTTAATTGAGTTGCTTATATATACAGGAATATAAGGTAAGGTTAATTTGCTGAACGATGATTGTGTTTAGCATTTATTGCTGAGCTTGTGAGCTCACCCCATTATCACATTTCAGGTACACGTTGAGTAGGAACGTGATGGGATTACATGATGGGAACGGATTTTAGCTCGTTACGCATTGATTTATTTTAGCTCGGTTTTTCCTTTATTCTGATTATTGTAATAAAGTTAATGTTTTATGAAACTTTATTGAGTTGATTCAGTGGTCATAGATGTTTTGTTTTACTAGAGGGAATTGCACCTCTATTTATGGATTTGTATAAAATTTGTCAGACTCTCATGTTTGTTAAGTTGAATGACGGGATTCATTGTAGTTCTATTATGGAGGATGTATGTTGAGAATTGATGGAAGTTATACCTTAGATTTTTTTTATGCAGGACAAGTAGTTCTTGTATTAAAATTTGGGGTGTGACAGGAGGTGTCTGTAATTATGCAATAATTATGTGACAAAACATTACCTGGTGCGACATAACCAATAATAGTTCCTCTAATCCCAATTGAAGAACTAGATTTTGACCGATCGGGTTTACCTCCGCTGCCTCCAAGAAACCTTGATATACCAAAATCACCCACTCGAGCGCAAAGCTCATTGTCAAGAAGAACATTACTTGGCTTTAAATCGCAATGAACGATTGTTGTGTCACATTGATGGTGAAGATAATCCAATACAGATGCCACATCAATTGCAATGTTTAGCCTTTGTATTAAATCCAAGCCCTTTGGATCCTGCTGCACAGATTGATTTGGGTGTAACCAACTCTCCAAAGTCCCATTTGGCATGAACTCAAAGATCAAAGCCTTGAAATCATTTTCTGCAAAGCTTACTCAATCAAATAATGGGAGGTTGGCTTATAAATTTGGCCATGATTTGCACCTAAAAACAAGTCACCTTTCACCTTCATTTTCTGGTTTATCACTACAACTGCACCAAGTCATAATTTCAGAAAATTTACTTTTATCCCTCTCTGGTTAAAAAAAAAAAAAAAAATTAATTGGATATTAAGAATTGATGCGTAATAATTACTGTAGATAGTAATTTTTGGGAGTAGATATTCCTAATTATTAGATAGTTAATTTTTGGGAGAAGATAAGGTACGGTTTATTTAAGTGGAAAACATGGATGTATAATTGGACTAAAAGTCACCCACAAGCAGAGAATTTTAAATAACATGAAAGTGCCAGCTTATTTGCACGTCGAGGGGTTAAAATCTAAATTTAAGGAGTACCAACTTATTAAGTCAAAAATTAAACAGTAAACATTATCCAAGGGAAAGTAAATTGGCTAGTTAGAGAGCCTAGGTGTGGGTATATAATTAACAAATAAATAATTTTAAAATATACTATTTATAATGGAGTTTGCCATCTCTTAAGTTCAAATTAAATAACTACCATAATTATAGTAATGATATTAACTAAAAACCAAAAATAAAAAAGGGGAGATATTTGTATCTATTTATTTGAAACAAATTTGAATTTGATTTGTCAAACATTTTATATAGATATATTGTCACGTGACTGTTGTAGGATTGTAGATTTTGACTCTAACCAATGTCTCAAAAATTTAGTGTCTAGTGGTCTACACAAACAACTGACATAATATACTATAATTACACACTTTCAGATTCACGCTTTATTTTTATCAAAATAAAAATGTTGCATGTATTACTTTGCTTGGTGTGATTTGATCCATCTTCTCTTCTTCCAGTATAATTTGGTCATCAACAACCTTCATAACTTGATCGAAGAGCCATCTTAGCATAGTTGGGGAGACAAAAATTGTTTGTGAGAGATACATAGTTGTGGTCCTGTGGAGAGTAAAATTGTTCTAGAACATGCATCAATACGCCTTTTTTCCGGTGAACATGCATCAATATGCTTTTTTCGGTAAACACTTCCAGTAAAATAACATAAACTACTAAACCAGTAATTTAACTTAAATCATATCTTGATAAATCAACCACTCTAGGCAAAGTGTAGGTGTGCAAGTTTTTTGTCAATGTAATTAAAATAAATAAATAGAACTGTGCAGGGCCCAATAATGGCCCAGGGAACAAAGGCACGAAGCCTTACATTCAAATAATGGATAGCTACGGCAACTAGGCCCAAATGTCTAACGGCATCATCATCAGTTATCACTTATCAGACAAATGCCTACTGTTCCTTCACTGCCGAAAAAAGCGTTCAACCTCCTCCGGCTGCTTTTCACCCCATGCACCGCCGATTCCTTCGCCGCCGACGAAGCTGAACCGGTGTCTCTGTACCAACACATCGTCTGGCACGAACGACGTTGTCCCGTTCAACATTAAAAGCACCGGTCCTGTGAATTACTCGCTCTCATTTTCTTGTTCATTTTCTGCCATTTGTGCGTGGATGTACCATTCTTTTATTATTATAGCACTGTAAAAAAAAGTTCTTGAAGGGTATCGAGATATTGTAAATTGGAAAGTTGTCCAAGTTCCACAGGAATGCTTCCCTCTAGGATCTAGATTAATTGTTAGACATCAAATTCGAGTGGAAAGAGAACAGATTCGCAAATAAAAAATGGGATTTTGCCAGTGAAATGATTACTATAATGAAGCAATTGTAGAACTTTAGAGAATTACTCTATTTCTGTTGGAAAAAATAGTAGAAATTTTTTGTATATGTTGATATTATTTAATACTCAATGATCAAGTAATTTACCTCCTTTCTCTAAGAATTAGCTTCTTATTAATTGCATGAAGTTGAAGATAAACATTGCTACAAGAAAATATTGATAAAAGTACATATAGTGGAACTATATCTTTCAGATATACCTCATTATTCTGAACATTACCTTATGAACCAGCTATAATTGTCTAACTAGGAATTATTTCTTCCATCTCTTTCTCTCTCTTTCCTTCCCCTCCTCCATACATAATAAGATATGCTTCTCTAATCTTGTGGAGTTCATTTAGAACATTTGTAATATCCATCCGTTCTCTTGGCAAGTCAGAAGAGCAAACGACTCCAATTCTAAGAACTGATACCAAGCAATCTTTTGTTGTAGCAATCTTGCGTTGTTTGGTCCTTTCAGAGTCATCTTCTTCTTCCAATATGAGTAGAGAATCGACAATCTCCATCACTCCATCTGGAAGCGCCATCTTAGCATAGTTATGAAGGCTGAAATTGTCTGTAAACATACTACCAGTCGGCCTTTTTCCAGTAAACATCTCCAGTAAAAGAATTCCGTAACTATACACGTCACCTTCCGTTGAAACCTCCCCACCCATACCATATTCTGCAATTTGAAACAAATGATGGTGCTTAAACTGTTGATGTTCTTCAATATTTTCTAATTTCTAAATTATTTGCTTGATTTATATTTTGACACTACATAGAAATGAAATACTACAATCCCAAATTTGGTGGGAGATTTCCATGTAGTTGGTGGTTAGTTAGGACAAAGTAACTGATGGATGAGATGTTGTAGTAAATTGAGGTTGGAACCAAACGGGACAAATTGTTAGAAGCCAGCTGAAGGTACTCTTAAGTTAGGAAGCTGTCCAAGTTCATAAGGAGTGCGTCCTTCTAGGTTGTTACGCCTAAGCGAAAGGTTGCGAAACACAGAAACATTTCCTAATGAAGGTGGGATCTTGCCACTGAAACGATTTTTGGAAAGATCAAATTCTAGGAGATTCGACAATTATCCCAGCTGGTTAGGCATTTTTCCTACAAAATTGTTTTCTGACATGTTGATGACTTTGATGTCTAAGAAATGAGTCAAATTAATAGGAAACTGACCTTGGAAAGAGTTTGTGTAAAGAGAAAAATGTTGTAACCGAAACAGTCGACCAACTTCTGGGGGGATAATGCCATGGAAGTTGTTGTTCTCGAGTTGGATCGCTTTAAGGAAGGTAAGGTTTCCAGAATGAAAAGACATGGAACCTACTAATTTTTTAGAGAAGTTTAGGACAGTCACTCTCTGATGCCACTGGCTACATGTAATCCCTTGCCAATTACAGAAGTGGATAGAATCATTCCATGAGCTAAGAACCTTGATTTTATTCCTTGATGGTTAACAAGGCTTGCTTGTCTCTCATTTGTGAAACCAAAAGTGGTGCTCGTCACCTTTCAAAAAAAAAAAAAAAGTGGTGCTTATTGTGGCATTTGAAACGAATAAATATTCAGGACAATGAGCATGAAGGGAAGTTGGAACAAAGTGCACAAGTTAATCACTTTATGGGCAGAAGTGACTAATAAAGAAGATGAAATCAATTTTCGAAGTTGCGTTTTTTATAATGCAGAAAGTGAAGTGTAGATGGAATCGTTTTCCATGGCTTGTGCTAAAATATTCCCGGTTTTGAGCAGATCTGGTAATAATTTCCAAAAATTACCATCTATGACCATGATTTGGGGCACCTAAACTATATAATCGAAGACAGACTGCATTTAATTGCTATTAGGTTTAGTTACTTGTCAAAGGATAAACTAGAGACTTGGTTGATACTAAGCTGTACTCCATCCCAAAAATATGACATATCTGAAAAAAGTTCAAAAACCCTTAGTAATCTATAGCAGTAACTTTTGATACATTTTGTATAGTACCAATATTGTGTTGAAAGGCACATACCAATATGCTAAGTAGGAACCACAAAGTCAATATTCAACAAGACCTGACTGACCTAAGGAAAAAAATTATTTAGACACTTAAGATTTATTTGTACCATGGATAACTCTATCAGGTAGTCAACCATCAAGTCTACAATTCATATGCAGGTTTTTCTGGGTGATAATCAACAAGTCATGGTCATATATAATTGTTCTTAGCAAAGTTAATAGTACTTTCAAACATGCTAAGTATGCCAATCCTGAGACAACCACAACAACAACACACGCACACAAAAGTAGAAAATAAAATACAATAAAACAAAAACTTTAAAGAGTCTCAAGTGTCGTAGAGTATGTACCAAAAGGAGGTGTATATAATTATGCAATAATTATGTGATAGAACATTACCTGGTGCGACATAGCCAATTGTTCCTCTAATCCCAATTGAAGAACTAGATTGCAAATGATTGGTTTTACCTCTTGCGGCTCCAAGAAACCTTGATAGACCAAAATCACCCACATGAGCGCAGAGCTCATTGTCAAGAAGAACATTGCTTGGCTTTAGATCGCAATGAATAAGTGCTGTTTCACAATGATGGTGAAGATAATCCAATGCAGATGCCACATCAATTGCAATGTTCAGCCTTTGTATTAAATCCAAGCTCTTTGGATCCTGCTGCACAGATTGAGTTGGGTGTAACCAGCTCTCTAAACTCCCATTTGGCATGAACTCAAAGACCAAAGCATTGAAATCATTTCCTTTGAAGTCCATGCTTGAGCAAGATGTGATGATCTTGACCAGATTGCGGTGGCGAATGTTCCTCAAGGCTTCACATTCAGCCAAGAAGCTCTTGTTGGCTCCAAGTAGTTGAAGTTTGAATACCTTCACAGAGACAATTTGTTCACCAGAGTTGAGAATTCCTTTATAAACAGAACCGTAACTCCCTGCACCAATCAAGTTTGCTGAAGAGAATCCGTTGGTAGCATGTTGAAGTTCTGCATAAGAGAGTGTTGGGTACTGACTTCCTAATGGACAATCTATGGAAGACTTTCGTTTTGACCTTTTGATGAGGTAAAAAACAGCGGAAACACATGCTATCAACAAAATTGTAGAAAGAGTGATACTTGTCACAAGAATTATCACTTTACGGGGGAACAGCTTTTTTCTTTCCCCTTGTGTGGGACATGCAGGCAATTCCAATGCCTTGATTCCTCCACAAAGTTTGTCATTTCCCACAATTGAAAATGCACCGACATTCATGAACACTCCTTCATTTGGAACTTCACCCTTAAACTTATTATAAGATAGGTCTAGATATTCAATCACTCGGAACTCGCCTAGAAAGCTTGGAATCCGTCCAGACAAACTATTATGAGAAAGATTTAGGTCTCGAATTCCTTTTAATTGCTGTAAAGATGATGGAATAGTACCTTTGAAAAGGTTACCCTCCATATGCAGGGTTTCTAAAACTCGACAATCACCAAGACTGCTTGGAATTTCTCCAGAAAGTTTGTTTTCTGAGAGATATAATTGTCCAAGATTTTTCAAGTTACCCACTTGTGAGGGCAGTGGTCCTGTCAAATAATTTTGATTCAAGGAGAGAGCAATTGTAAGAGAAGAAAGTCCAATAACTTGCTCGGGTATCGCACCAGTGAGGTGATTCAGTTGAAGATCCAATACTTCTAGCCTTGTGCAATTACCCAAAGAAACAGGTATTCTTCCCTCTAGCATATTTTGTCCTAATCCAAGAATACTCAACTGAGACATGTTGCCAATAGATGGCGGAATTTTTCCTGATATGTTATTTATGGAAATGTACAGTCGCTGCAACTTAGAAATTTTCCCAATAGATTCAGGAATGCTTCCGCTGAACATATTTGTATCCAATACTAGAAATTCTAAGTTGACGAGGTTCCCTATTCCCTGTGGTATGCTTCCAGATATGTAGTTTACATTTATCCACAGTGAGGTGAGACTGGTGGATAGATTTGCAATTGAATTGGGCAATACACCTCCAAAATAATTCCCACCTAAAAGTAGACCTTGTAGATTTGAACAGTTGGTTAATGAATCAAGGAAGCTCAAGTCATTGGCTTTTTTAGTTCCGAGTCGGTTACTAAAAATACTTAGCCTATCTAGATTTTGAAGGCTATGCAAATTCATTGGTACATACCCACTAAAAAAATTCTCACCTATATCAAACTTAACAAGTTCTGTAGCATTAACCAATGATGGTGGAATAGGCCCAGAGAATTGGTTACCGCCAACTAAGAAATATTGTAGTTTTGGAAGGGTCAATCCCAGTTCTTTGGGGAGCCTTCCGCTTAACTGGTTGAGAACTAGAGCAAAGACAGAGATGGATGAGATACTGTAAAGTGGAGGAGGAACCATTCCAGACAAATTGTTGGCACCCAACTGAACATACTGTAAGTCAGAAAGCTTTCCAAGCTCAAAAGGAATGCTTCCCACTAGATTGTTATAACCTAGATCAAGTGTGCGAAGAGCAGAAAGATTTCCCAAAGAAGGTGGGATATTGCCAATGAAAAGATTTTTGGAAAGACGCAATTCTAAGAGATTAGACAATGACCCTAGCTCAATAGGAATTTTTCCTAGAAGATTGTTTGAAGACATGTTGATGACAGTAATGCTGGAGCAATGAGTCAAGTTGGTAGGGAACTCACCTTGGAAAGAGTTTTTGTCAAGAGAAAGATGTTGAAGCCGAAACAGTCGACCAATTTCTTGAGGGATTGTGCCACTGAAACTATTGTTCTCGAGATGGATCCCTCTGAGGAAGGTAAGATTTCCCATATGAGGAGACAAGGAACCGACTAATTCCAGGGAAGACAAGTTTAGGATTGTCACCCTCTGATGCCAATGACTACATGTGACTCCTTTCCAACTACAAAAGTGGATAGAATCATTCCATGAGCGGAGGACATTGAAAGGATCCTCAAGAATTTGATCGCTGATGGCTAGCAAGGCTTGCTTGTCTGTCTCGTTTGTGAAGCCAAAAGTAGCGCCAGCTGTGGCATTTGGGCACAGTAAAATGAGGGTCATATGAAATAGGATGTAAGAGAGTAAGAGTGATGAATTGAATAGGGTCAAAATCATATTTTTGTGTTCCATTCTTAGTGAAAGATGAAGGAAGCTGAGAGCAGAGCACAAGGGAAGTTGGATCAAGTGCATAAGCCAATCCTTCCTTACATTCGGACCTGCATTATGATAATATTAGTGCTTTAGTTTGACAAGAAGCATCACTTTTAGGAAGTTTGACAATAAGTTTGGTATATTCAAATGATACTGTACTTATTGAAAGAAATAATACTCCGTAACTATCAAGTGTTGAAATTGACAAAAAGGTTGGTATATTCAAATGATTCAACAATTGCGGGTGGATGGTTGGTAGAAATTGACAAAAAGGTTGGTATATTCAAATGATTCAACAATTGTGGGTGGATGGTTGGTAGAATGTCCAATTCCCTGAGCAGGTATGCCCATCCATACCTTTGAGTCCTCTCTCCCTCTGGTTTGCGAAGATACGAGAATAAAAATTAAAAAAATAAATAAATAGATAAATAACTTTTTTGGTAATTGTTTGGTGTATGAAGTATAAGAGTACTGCATGAGTTTGGTAGTGAATTATAAGGTGCTCTAAAATGCGGAACACCACTATTGTCTTATTGTCTTGAATGTGCATAAAAATTAATTATGACTTGGCGCAGTAGCAGTATAGCTGCTGAAGATCACACACACACACACACACACAATTGGACTACAAACTCACCAAGCAGCAAAACTAGCATGCAACAAAATTCGGACCCTCAATCGCTCACATGTAAGAGGAAGAGAGGGCAAAATCGATCTTTGGGATTCTTATCAACAGTACTTGCAAATTAATTAAATATTAGCTATCAAAATGGTCATAAATTTTTTATTTTAGTCATTACATTATGCATACTAGTATATTTTAGAACTTAAACTGAACTTCAAATAATTAAAAGTTTACTAGTAACTTATAAAGTCAAAAAATTTAGTTAAACATTGTCCAAGGAAAAGTACAGTGGCTAGTTAGAAAGAGGGGGAATAAATTAAGCAAAAAGAAAAATAAATTTATTTAAATATACTCTTTTTGATGGAGCTTTCCATCATAATTACTAAATTCTTAGTACTCTTTTCAAGTTTTAATTAAATAACTACAAAACTAATAGTAATTAAATTAACTAAAAAAGAAATTAAGACGACCAATATATCAAGAGAATAAATTAATGGTAATGACACTAAGCCCATAGTTTGGTTGCACCGAATTGGAATTGCATATGGATTGCAATTTCAAGGTATTATAATCCCAGTAATCTAATTCCAAATCCACTCTTTGGATAAACTTTGGAATTCAAATGTAATTGACTTTCAATTCTAATTTATCGTTTGGATAACATCATTAATTTGGAATTGAATTAAACCAGGTAAAATAGATAGGTAAGTGCAGAAAATGCCTTAAAGTATGTTTGTAGTGCACGTGCAAAAAAACTCCTAAAGTATCAATTTGGTGCAAATATGTTCCTCTTATAAATGTAAACCCTAAGTTGACTAAATTACCCTTACTGAACCATTTTCTAAATATATAAAAATAAATAATTTTGTAAAATGACCGAAAAGGACATTACTGGTGGACGCCCCTCTCGTGCAAAAAACATCCCTAAAGTTTCAATTTGGTGTAAATAGGTCCCTCTGACAAATTTAAACCCTAAGTTGACTAAATTACCCTTATTCAACCATTTTATAAATATATAAAAATAAATAATTTTGTAAAATGATCGAAAATAACACTATTGGAGGACGCCGGCAACGGTTAAGTAAAGATTAAAAATAAAAAATAAAAAAATAGAAAATAAAAAACAAAAATAAAGTGCAAACTAAAGAAAACAAATATACTCCAAACAAATATATTAGAATTTTTTTCCCTTTTTTTTTTTTGTTTTTAACCTAAAATAAATTAGTAAAAAACACTAAACTGAAATCTCAAAAAATTCGAATCCTTATTCTGCAAATCCTCAAATTTTCCCCTAAAAAAAAAAAAAAAAAAAAGAAGAAGAAGAAGTTTAGAGATATTTATAGAGAAAAAAGTTTCAAAAAAAAAAATATATATATATATATAAGGTAATGTGCACATAACATCCCTATACTATGGGATTAGTAGCATATATACCCTCGGGCATTTTCGGAAGAGTAAAGGGCAAAATGGGTATTACAATACTAATTTATGCCAGAATTCTGATTTAGGGATATTTTTGCACAATGTGAAAAAATTATGAGCATTTTTTGCACACTTCTTTAAATAAGGGGTAAAAGTGCTACGCGGAGTATACTTTAGGAGTTGTCCCAAATAGATATGTTGTATGTATGTATATAAAAAGATTAAAATAAGATGAGTTGGAATTAAGATTGAATTAATATATAAAATTACTTAAGAGCTAATTCATTTGAAAAATGTAATTTTAATATATAAAATTACATGATGCACTGTAGCACTTGGCAATTTCTATGAGTTTGGAATCCGGGTTTGAACCGCGGCAGTAGAATATACAAACATTTTTCCTTTTCCAGATAGGAAAAAAAAAAAAAAACATATTTTTTGGGCTTTTTCCAAACTTGCAATCAGTCCCTATTCTTGTTTTAAAAAAACAAAAACATATTTTTTGGGTTTGTTTGGGTATTGGAAATTTTCTGTTGAATCATGGGATTCAAATTGTCGTTTTGGGATGTTTGGGATTACAATGCAATTCCAATTCCAAATTAGTTTGTACTATCCAAACACTGGATTTGGAATTGGAGCTTTCAATTCGAATTCCAAGAATCCAATATAGTGCAGCCAAATATAACCTCAGTTATATATATATATATATCCAAATATAACCTCAGTTATATATATATATATATATATATATACACACACACACACACACATATATATCAAAAAAAATGACATTAACTAATATATTAAAAATAAAAAGTAAAAATAAAAATAAACATGATAAAAAAAAAATAAAAAAATAAAAACAGTAGTAAATTTTTTAAACCTCGAAAACTCGATTAGAAACGGATTGGTAATCTGAACTCCCGTTACGTGATGGTCGTTTTCGTTATTTTACGTTACATACATAATTCTTCAACTTCTCTTTCCTTTTCTTTTTTTTCCCAATCTAACCGTTGTTCAATAGTCCTCCTTAGCCTCTATGTCTTATATCATGAAACTGGTACATTTGTATCATTGTATATACCGAAAATAACACTCAGCAAAATGAGATGAACACAGCAAATATATATTATAATTACAAATTTTCAGATTCACCATTTTATCAAACTAAAAATGTCTGCCTATTATAATAGTATGCAATCCTGTAACGATATCACCGGTAAGTATTCATTCACTCGTCAATTCAGTAAAAGCATAAAACTCTTATATGAAAAATCGATGTTGGACAGTAACTAATGACCTAATCTTGACTCTTAAAACAAAGTTACAATTTAATATTGAGAATTCATGTTCTTAGTTAGACCCACACACTTCTGTGTGAACCTTGCAAATGAGTGAGTTTCGACTCTTGAAACAAAGTAAAAATTTTCCAACAAAGTTAATATTTTCCAACGTGATCGATGAAACTTCATGTGGTCCATGCGGATAAGTCCTTTGAAAGACTTTGGGGGCGGAAGGACTATTTTTCATTCTCATGACATACTTAGGTGATTATGTTAACGGATAAATTCCACTGACATCACGAAGGTTTTGGTTGTCAGTTAGACGAAAGTCAGCACGTGTCCTTTTTATTTATTTATTTTTTTTATTTTTGGTAATAACAATGCAACAAGGAGAAAAGAAAAAACAACCGACACCCCAAACAAACAACTAAGAAGCTATGACCAAAGCATCGCGCACAGCAAGATCCACAATCCGATGGTGTAGGTGCAAATAATTCTTTTAACTAAAAAGCTAAAAGAATAAATACAATTCATTCAAATAAAGAACAATTAATAACAAGAACAATTCAGGGAGAAGGCTCGATGATCTTTATTGGAGATCTCTGCATCTATTTATATACAAAAAAAAATGGTGGAATTATAGTAGGATTCGTTATACTTGTCTTCCAATTCATTCCATATATAACTCTTTACCTATAAGGTTCTTTCCTTCTATAATTCTTTCCATGCAAGACTCTTCCCACACAGAACTTCCTTATATGAAGAATCCTTTGTTAAGTAGGACTTGATTAATCTGAATGGACTTGGATTATAATGTAAATGGGCCGGATGGATTTTTTAGCAGGCCGAAAGGTTAACACTAATAACCTTGGATCGATATTGACTTTAATTGGGCTTAATCAAGATTGGGCTTTGATGGGCTATTGGAGAACCATTGAGATTATACCTTATTTTAATGACGTGGATGATTCTTATTGGAGGGGGATTTTTCCCTCCACACTTTGCCCCCAATTCCCTCCTAAATTGAACTATGGCTCCTAATTAGAAGGGAATTAAATTTGCAAGGTTGCCAATTTTGCAAGAAGCGGTTTTGAGACGTGACCATTGACATTTTGACCAAAGAACTTCTTCAAAGTTTGCTTCTATCTTCACTAAGTTCATTGCTTCGTCGTGACATCCGGTTAGTTCTTCATTTATGTTACTGATTTTGTATCATTAGTACTTCATCCTTCCAACCAAAGGGTAGAGCAATAGAATTCGAGGTCATGCTACGGCAGGAAAGCTCAACATAACAGTTAAACTCAATATAAATAATGAAATGCCATGGAATGCAATGTATGCCGATGTCAGTCCCCATTTTCAATATTCAAACCATCACTTTCAAACGGTTAATATAACTCGCCCTTTGGTGACCCCGCAGTGACACGAGAGAAGGATTGGCTAGTGTCCCTGACCCATGGTACCCCCGCGGTGTCATTTTGGGCCCAACTAGCTCAACCACGCTTGGGCAGTCTCCCTAGTTCCCTCTAGGCTATATTACCCTCCGGCCCTTTGGTACCCCCGCGGCAACCGGGTTTTCATAAAACTAATTCATCAAAACAATTCCCCCAAAATTCCTTTTTTCATTTCAAAACAATTCCCTTCATGCAAGCCCAATGTTATGCATATGAGTCTCATACTTTCATTGTAATAATACTAAGAGATTTCTCACAACACAATTAAACATGTTCTCATACATCATTTATAGCATGTTAACAACATAGTAGACTTAGGAACTCACATACAAGCATG